ATGGATGATCCTTAGATTGGAATACTATGAAATGCATCGTCTTGATAAAGTGGAAAAGCACCTAAATATTTTCACACTCACACTCAAAAAAGCTGTTAAACTCAATGAAGCGGCTAAGGCAGAAGATGTGATAGAAATAGACACTGTATATGAACCAGAAGTTGACACATCAGACTCTCGAGTTGTCGAACAAGAAAAACACATGGCAATACTTTATACAAAGCTAGAGAACTATGCAAACACAATAAATCACGGTAAATAAGCTCAACATAGCTCTTAAAGCTGTTGCCAGTATCTAACACATAGTTTTAGATGATACTTATCCTGCCCACATAGTCCCAATCTCAAAACTTAACCTACCTAATGCTGTTAATACTTTAGAGGATAGTATAGAGGTCTCCGCTCCAGACCTTTTCTTTAAGTAATTATGATCGTATAATCTACCACTAATAATACAGTGCTGTTTGTTCTCAATATCGCAATACACAATGTTCGTTCTTTACACTCCTATACAAACAACAAATCCTTTTTAACTTATACAAAATTCAATATTATCGCTTTACAAGAAATTAACTTCAAAAATTCATTTCATATACATTCCTTAAAACTCATTTGTTCAGATAAATTTATTCCCTTCTTTAATTTCGATCCTCTGCTCAAAGTATAGGATTTGGAGTTGGCTTTCTCATTAAAAAACATCTGGCAGATCACGTGTTTCACTACTCCTCCTTTTTCATCACATTTTTTTGCTCGATTTTCAATTTAAAAACAAATGCAAACTTTATATTATTAATATTTATGTTTCCAGTTCAGATAAAAACTTACGTAACAAAACTTACAAGAAAGCATTAGATCTCATAAATGATGTTCAACAAAAGGATTACCTTATAATACTACTTAGCGATTTTAACGTGGATCTTTCACGCACCTCCAATCCTTCAAATTCAAAAGCCTTCTTCACCGCACTTGATAATCTCCACCTGATCAATAATTTAGATCTCGTAAAAAATCAGAAATCAACTAACAATCTCATAACCTATGAAACTAGGACAGGACGCTTTACAATTGATTACATTTTTATTTATTCTTCATTAGTTCCAGACCTCATTAATCAAGTAATAAACAAAGTTGATAATAACTTGTCAGATAATGCGATTGTATATGCCACTATTTCATTAACATCAATCAACCCTCATTCACTCACTGTGTAGCAATCAAAAAATTAGTTTATCATTATATCGAAATGTCTGAAGATGACTGGTCTGTCTTTGAAACCTCAGTCGATCAATGATGTAAAAACATAAGACTGAACACTGTGTCATCAAACAGCATTCATACAATCCACTATTTGAACTTTTATTAGGATCTTCTACAGAAATCAATTATAAACATAGCCACTAAAACTATTCTTAACAAACATACTTCACATCACAATAGAGATCTCAGATCACGTATTCTCAAATTGATATACAAACATATCAAACTAATTCAAAAATTTTGTAAATCAAGTAGCAAATGCATCACAGACAATTTAGTAGATCCCAAATGGATCACCTAGTATAAGAAGATACAAAAATTCTCATCAGAATATGCTATAACCGTTCTTGACACTAGTCAACCCTCAATATAAGATATTAAATCAATTCGTTCTCTGTTAATCGATCTTTGTAAAGTCTTATCTACTGCAGCCAAATTGAATGAAGCTGAACTCAAAACAAAAGCTATTAATGATGCTATTGAAAGACAATGTACTAATTTAGTAGATGACCAAAGAGCCATGTTTGACTTATTATTAGAGTGTCCTTGTACTACTATTATATTAGACAAATGTATAAATAATGACAGTCCTAACAAAAAACTTCTTACAGAATCAAAGGATTTACAAAATAAGACAGCAAGACATTTTCAAAAAGTGGTTGGCTCACAATATTCTAACCCAGCTCTTCCAGAGGTCTGGAACAAGTTTATACGTCAGATGAATCAATAGATCCCAATATATATAACTCTATTATACAACTCTCTTTGAAAGAAGAATAGTACAATATCATTAGGGCGCTCTCTGATGGAAAAGCTTCTGGACCATCCAAGATATCCAACGAAATGCTAAAATATCTCAGCCCTTTTGCATCAAAATGCCTGTGGACTATCATTTGCAGATGTCTGTCACTCAATTTAGCATCCAATAGATGAAATCTAGCCTTCATTTATCTAATACCTAAACCAAAACTCTAGGAATATAATTTAACAAACACACATCCTATTACACTCTCGAATGCCCACAGAAAGCTTTTATAAAGCTAATTAATTATCATCTCTTGAACGTATTATCTACCAATAATATCTTCAAAGGAAACAACTTTGCTAGTCAGCCTTGCAGAAGCACTTTCGAACCAATACACATCTTCGATAATGTTAAATACGATGCTTCATTTTATCACAACAATCTCTGGATTTTATTTTAAGATATGTCAAAAGCATATAATTGCGTTAATATCACTATGTTAATCAGAGCTCTCGGTTATCTTCAAATTCCAGAAACATTCATTAAATTTTTGATTTCAATCTTTCTCCCCCGTTTTAACCAAGTTTTTACTACACACAGTAATTCGGATACTTACTTAGTTTTCTCAGATATTGATCAAGGTAAAATTATATCCCCTATTTTGTGGTGTATATACTATGACCCCTCTTATGTTTTATACAAAATTCAGCACACGGCTATACACAACACGTTCACTGGAGAACAAATATTACAAAGCGTAATATACAGAGTTTTTCAAATCACATTCTAGCCCAAGCATATATGAAAAATACGCTCTGGTTGACAGACTCTAGATCTGATCTCATAAATATAATGAATATAGCAGATTCTTTCTACACACTCAACAGCATTCAGGTCAACTGGAATAAATTAATTCTCATGATTAATGATACAGATTCTTCTTCTGTTAACTTTAACTTTAATGATAAAAATATCTGGCTGTCATCACTACATCACAAAGAATCTACAAGATATTTAGGAGTCTGAGTATCTCTGTTTAATAATAGATAATTTATTACCAAACAAATTCTTGATGAGTTTACCAAGACAAAGAACGTACTTAGCAAGATATTTAGGAGTCTGAGTATCTCTGTTTAATAATATATAATTTATTATCAAACAAATTCTTGATGAGTTTACCAAGACAAAGAACGTACTTAGCAAGAAAAAGCTCACTGCTAAACACATAATTGCAATCTTTAATACCGTCATTGTCCCTCATATACTATACAAAACAAAACTGATGTTTGTTTCTCGTTCAGTTTATGACACTCTAATGACCTCCTTTAGAACTTTTTTCAAAAAGAAATTAGGACTTTCAAGATTCATATCTGCCTCAATTATTCACTTAACCTTTAGTTACAATTTAGCATATTTGTACAATTAACAGATACAAGTTAAATCATCTGACCTATTAAAGATGACTAATAACATCTCACTTTTTGGTTCAACTTTACAGTTATGAATTTTACAACTACAACTTTTGGAATGGTTACCATCATCCCTATTAACTGACTGGCCTTTCATAGATACTAAGCCCTTTAAAGATTAGTGATTAGGATTCCTATCAGCTGCTAAGCAAATTGAATTTAAATTTCAACAATGTATAGACAAAGATTACAACTTAAAACAAATAGATGAAGGGTTACTTCCAATAATACAATTCCTCCCTCTCAAGGTATATTGGCAAAATGTAATGAAACTGTGATCACTTTCGATCTTATATGTTAATCAACTCACCACTATGGATGGTACTAACCTATTCACAGTCTTTGACCTAAATATGGTTTACAACTCAGTATTTCATAGTGCTAAATAGTTCAAACAACTAGAATTGCAGCTTTTAACCAGTGCTTCGAATAGACTCCTACTCAATAATTGCTCCCTCATATATCACTCATCAAAGCACTAACTTAACTTATCAATTTTAATACTTCAGCAACCAATCTGACTTTTGTTGTAATCTGGTCTAATCAGTATATGACATTTATATTAGGCAAAGTAGTCAAAGTCGAAGATACTATCATCCATGCACAACATTATTTGCCAAATTAGGCTGCTTGCTTTCAAACACCCATTGCCCTTATACTAGATGTAATCTTTTTGACTATTCAGCTTTTATACCTTACAAACAACAACAATATCATTATTTTTGTGCTATTAGATTACCCAAGTCATTTTGTTCTATATTTAAATTTTTTTACAAACCCCGTGAAGGATGGTGATGTAAACTTTCTCATCTTATACTTCATAAAATCGCTTTATCAACTTTAACATCTCCTTATCAATACCCAACTAACATCATGAAATTAATCAAATATTTATCTTATGCTTATTAAACAACAATTAATTATAAGCATTTAAAGTTTGTATTTATCGAATAGTTAATATTTTATATATGCTTATTTGTATTTAAAACAAATATTTATTTATTGTTATAATATAATACAAATACTGTAAAATAGTAAATATAAATGCTTTACAATTACTATTTAAAAAATTATTTAAAAAATGCTTAAATTTAATATTTATTAATTACTATAAAAAAGAATATTAATTAAGTATTTAAATTTACTATTTAAAATGTATTTTATAATCAAGAATTTATTTAGTAATATTCAATATATTTATTTACATAAAAGATTTCTGGTTTAGTAAATTTTGGTATAATGTGTACTATATTTGCAATTGAAGCAATAGAAATTAAAGTATAATGCTCGACATGTTAAGAATTGCACATTTGTAAAAATAATGATATTGTTCATTAGTCAGATATGCAAAATCATACCAGTAGACAAACGTAAGTTCAAGATTCTGCTCCAATTTTGTTGAAGAAACTCGAAGAATAAGAAGAACCTAAAAAATAATAAAAAGTAAATACTATAATAATAAAATTAAGTTTTTATTTATTAATACATACCTTTGCATAACATAAGCTATTGTCTATTAAATAATCGTCTTATTCTGATTTATCCATTTCAACACAAACATCGAAGAAGGCTGCTTGTTCATAATAATTAGGAGATGCACGAACAACCACTCTATTATTTTTATCTAAGTATGCAAACTTAAATACTTCAATTTGAACCATTTCATTGTCAATATCTTGTAATAACCAATTTTTGACATTCTGAAGATAATCATAAATACAAGATTTAAGTTGTTTAAAACTACATATCCATAACTTGTTTAGATTTTATATATTTGCCAGTTGATGATTCGATTAATTGTATGTTGTGTCATTTTCTCAATAACTTTTTTTGATATAATTCCATTATAAACCTTCTTATATGATCGTGATTAAATCTTTAACAGGAACATAAAGATATTTTGATGATGTAACTTAAAAAAAATATTATTAAATATAATTAGAGTAATATAATACCAAAAAATAATACTTACAGTTGATTGCATTTGTGTATTCACATGACGCTTATTTATTATATGATATGGCTGTTTAATATTAATTTTATGCAATAATTCATATATTTCACTTGTAAATCCATTGATAACATCGATTTGATGAATTGATGATATTAAATGATATTGCCAACTGTGTAACTTCAGTAAATTTAGATTAGATAGTGAGAACTTTGACATAAGTTTAATAAATAAGTCACATCATGTAATTATTGATTTCTATTATTAAAAATTTAGTTATATTATATCTTTATAATAAAATCATTAAATTACTTATTATTAATAAACTTGTCTCAAATTTACAAAGATCCACTTCAGTATATCTGGATTGATGGCTACATATATACATATCAATCCACAATGAATACAATTTGCATAGATTCTTATTAAGCTTCTTATCTGATATTAAATCATCTAATACAAATAACATAACTTTTATCAAGTCATGATACTTGGCTGCAGTTAATCGTATAAACCTTTTAAATCTATTTTTAAAAATCTTTAGATTCAGATAACGAGAAATTTGAGAAAGGCGTTCCTTAAGAGTTCTTATTAAACTGTTATTATACTTGGAATTTAAACAATTCGACTGTGAATCTTAATTGATACTGAAAAAGCCTGAGATCTGCATGATGCATATGATCAGGTATACACATAGTATAAACATTAAAATATCTATTAAATATAAAATTATTCATTAACTTTAAAGGTTTGATCTATCATATTGATCATTTTGACCAGCATTAATAAATCTAATGATTATGAAAACACTTACGGTCATTTTCACAGAGCATTCCTTATATTATACACTGAGATTTCTTTATCTTTACCATAACATAAAGCATTCTTAGTATCATTTTCATTAAGAATATGAATATCTTCTTTTGTAATGTGAACATCATTCATCATATTACATTCCACCAAGCAGAAATGACATGGATATAAAGAATTTAGTGAACCATAAACGCCACACATCATGTATACTTCAGACCAATTTGTAATTATAAATGCCAAATATGAATAGAACCACATAAGGCTACCATTGAAATACAAATAGATTCCTATATTACTTAAGATTCTCAATGATCTCAATATAGTCGCAAGTGCATGGTAAAAGAGTTCACGTGATGCTTTTCGAAATTGTGTTAAATGTTTCTCATATGTATTATTATATTTGAGATTAGGTATATATAGCCAAGTAAAATTTTAGTATTGACCTTATTATGATAAGCTAAAGGAATATTTTCAATTGTCATAAATATTGGATGTCGCGATATTTTGTCTAAGTTGTCGCAAAGAGTACCATCGGTATACAATATAATGGGTATTACGTGCGCTTCTATTGGAAGATTTTGCTCTACATTTCTCCACCAATTAGAATTATACATATCCATATATTGATGTTGATTTGATGTCTTTGGTCACAAATTATAAATCAGATAAGTTAATATAACTTCTAAAATTTCAAGTAAGCTATACTTACAATTTCAATAGATGATTTGTATTTAAATATAAAATTTTCCATAATACTTTTATTTATCAATAGTTGTTATACACTGTCAAGCACCGTTCTGTGTTCAAATACATATTCTATTCCTTTGTATTCAAAAATCTTTTCTTTTCGTTAACCAAAATTTAGAAGATTTAGGTTTTCTATAAATGCTCGTCTGGCCTGTGATGTTAACGATAATGGATGATCATTATGATTTGAGTATTTGTTGAAAAATTTTATAAAGACGTTGGCAAGTGGATCTTGTACATGGAACCGTGTTAACATGTGCATAAATTCTGCATATTTTTCTGATAAAAATTCTTGATACACATCTTCGAAATCAATAGGTATTTCGGTAAGTAGAGCATTATATTCAGCACAATCATTAGCATTAACTTCTGTCATATCTGACAGATCAGATGCTGCATATTCTTCATCAGATAGGTTATTGCCTTGAGATTCACTTGTGCAGCTAGAGGATAGAATATCGATGTCTTGTCTTTCAATAGATTCATCTACATTAGAAGCTCCTTTTACATCAAATGCAACATTCTCCTGACCGATGTTCAGATTTTGCTCAAAATGTGCTCTCTTACAAGTTGTTTCCATTTTTTCAGGTATGGTTTGTCTTTCAAATATATTTTTTTCATTTAAGATTCGGGTTGTTTCAATCAAAAAAATTCTGCAAATTTGTTGATCTGACAAAGGTAAATCATCATCACTATTATCTAAATGTGTTTTAATGTGATTACTCAATGCCTGTCGATCCTTGAAAACCTTATTACAAGAAAAGCACCTTAACATCTCAGAGAATAAGCAGCTCACTACGAAATGTATATAGTTTTCAGGTTCGTGACTAGTGATGTATGGATAAAGTAAAAGACAAAAATATTAATAAATGTCTTAGCTTTCTTATATATATATATAAACGGTTATATTTGTTTTTAAAGTCAAATTCAAGTTTGTAATGTCCAGAATCAGATTTAGTTTTGATTTCACAATCATGTTAGAACACTTAAAAATATAATTAGAACAGAAAATATAATAAACTTGCTAATTTTTTATAATTTTTTATCAATCAAATAAACCAAATGAAATTTTATTACATTTTTGAATTAAATATTAGAGGTTGAGAAATGACAATTTTGATGAAAATTTTTCTGTCGAAATGTAATAAATGTTTCTCGTAAACTTATAAAAGAGAGCATTTAAAGAAATAAGACAAGATGATCTTCTAAGTCTGTTTATATAGAGATGACGATCATCTCCTTTAAATTAAATGCATGTGATTGTTTCACGTATTAAAGTTTGAGCTATTAATAAAATTAGAAATTGTTTTAACATTATACCGAAAAAAAAATTCTCCTATTGTACGTTTGGAATGTGAAATGTGAAAACGAGAAATTCTGAACTTATTAAACGAAGTATATTTCAATGAAATTTATTTCAAACAACTTTTCCAATATTATGCATATTTGTAGTTAAATTAATAATATTTATTATTTTTAATAATTTAACCTTGAGTTTATTATTAAACTACATCATCAATTAAATCAAACTTTTTATTTTACCACGTGCGATTTCACCATTATTATAAAAGATAAATTAGATTAAGCTTTTCATTGTCTTTTTTATTAAACTCTTTTTCTTTTCTTTTCTAATTATCTGTCCTGTTCAACCTTTTCATTTCTTTATCATATAATAAAAATTCAAATATAAATATTCAAAGAAACACTTATAAATAGACTTGTTTTAGATATGGACCATACTAAAAAATGAGTATTATCCGTCTCAACATGTTTTGCTTCGTATTGAACTTTCAGAGGAATTAACAAATATCTCAAATGTATCAAGTACTCCGAAGACCCTGAACACTCCAAATACTTCAAGAATCACAAGAAGTTCTACTATCAATATAGGTTTAGATAAATGGGTTGCCAAAGGTGTGAGTATAAAAAACCGTTTAGATCTGTTTGACGATGGTGATGTTTTATCTAATTTGGAAGCTGTCTTCTGAATGATAATAAGATTTTTGTCGATGATTTTACTTCAGAAAACGAGATGGCAAATTCTAATTGTAACAAAAAGTTAATGAGATTAATAATATAGAAAATGAAGACATGGATATGCAAAAGAGAAATCATAAGTTAAATTCATTGATCATTGCTCCTAATTACAATTGCTTTATATAAATTAATCATATTTCTTCTAGGATTTACTTCAACAATTAGTAATATTTATGATGTGCAGACTCAAATGATTGTGATAATTCAAGATATATAGAAAAAGGTCAACGAAATGTATACAGTCTGGAAAGTCATTGGATTTGGTAATCATACAAAAAATGACACTAAATGTATTAATATAGGTGGTGTTGAATTATACTTTACTTATTTTCTATAATTATACTAAGTCATGTGTATTCTTTCATAATAGAATGCAATTGGTCAAGCGATTTATGCTGTAATTAAAAAAGTTAAATATCCAAATGATGAACGTATTATGCAAGTATATTATGATACGTTATCAGATGCAAGAGAAGAAGAATTCTAAAATAAGATAAAACATGGTAGATGGAGATGTTTCTTCAATAAACATATTCGTTCATTAGTAAGTAAATATTAATGATCATTTGTAATAAATTATTTAATCTCACTCGTTCTTTTAACAGGCTCAAAGATTTTTACGCTAAGCATGAAGCAATATCATACAATGCGTAAAAGATACTATTCATACTGAATTTCCAAATTTTGTAAAGCCAAAAATGGAAAATTAGCAAGTTATATGTAATGAAGAGTGAAAGTTCAAAGATGCTACCATCACTCGCGAATATTATACAAAACTAAACAAATCCATTGATCCTGATGATAATTCACATTATACTTACCTTAATCTGATAATTGACTGTGTTTTTACAAATCCAAACACAGAAAAAACTCCATTGTGTTTAGAATGGCTGTTACTCTAAATTATTTAGATCTATTAAAAGGAATTAATATAGTCTCAAGTGAAATTATAGAGCGAATGAATCACTTTCTCAAAAAGATGCAGGTTTTAGATCGCGAGGAGTTGTGAGTAAATTGTAAGTATTACCTTTTATCTTTTATAACATATTTATTAATCATTTTATTTAATGTTTTATAATAAAATATAAAAGTTTATATTCAAATGAACAGATAAAGCTATCAAAGTTTTTCAAAATGAGTCTAAAATAAAATAGACAGAATGGCTTATCTTTTATAATGTATTAATAATCATAGTACACTTGAATTACAATTATTTAATTTGCACAATTTGCTACAAATATTTACAATAAATAAACATATAACAAGCATTTTATATAAGTATTAAAATTATATTATATTCTAATACTAAGAAAATACATAATGTTGGCTAATTGCAATGGAATGTCAACGCTTATCAAATATAAGGTTTGTTGAGATATAGATAATAATATTTAAAATAAACGGTTTTAAAGTAATTAGCAAATGCTTGATAAATGCTTTAATATACTTTGTGATGATATCCTTTTGATTACTTAATAAAGTATAGTAGATGTTAAAAAAATTTTTATTATTAGAACTCTTTGAATAATATAAGTTAAGGCAAATAACTATTATATATTAATTACGGATTGCCAAATTTTTTTTTAATGTCAACTAAGAATTAGAAAAAAGGAAAAGAGTAAAGAGTAAAGATAGCTATTGAAGATAAAGAAAGTAGTTAAAGTCATATAGCCAACTTTGAAACTTTTAAGACAAAATTTCCAAATATGTATACATAGGTGTGTGACCTTCCCAGCCACTTTCTTGATATATGAAATTTTTAAAATCTTTATTGAACTCTGAATTAAACTACAAGACCAGGAAACATATCAAAATCCAATATAAAATTCAAGCTTAAAATCGAGATAGGCTTAAATTCTGTTAACCTATCTCTTTATCCAAAATTTTAAGTTTTCTAGATCAAGATTTACACTATCTTTATTAACGTGCTAGCCTCTTTTTAATTCTAAATAATATAACGAAAAAAGTATGCTATTATGCTTGTCTTTAAATCGAACTCAAAATACTGAGAACTGAAGTGTTCGAGTATACTCTGTGTGAGATTTTACAAGCTTAATTAACATACCATTTTTTATGTTATCCTAGAATTAATTCTAGAACTGATTCATAAACGTAAACAAAATAAAAAATTTACACCTAAGCTTGACTTAAGTGTAAATTTTTTTGGACCTATGAGTGTAAAAAAAAATTCATCTAGATAAGTCTAACCTCTAAGTCTCACCTATAGGTGTAAAAAAATTCACTCAGTTAGGTCTCACCTCTAGGGCGAACATAATATTCATAAAGTCTGTAAAGCAAAGCAGAATATATAGATAAGATATAAAAATAAATAGTGTTTATAGTCTGTAAAGTGAAGTGAAGCATGTTGTTAACGAAGCAATTGATCACTCATAATGAAGTTATATAGATGACGCAATATGACGATTTCTTAAATCAGAATTCTGTAAATACTGAGAATTCTACGAATTCTAAAAATACAGAGGATCTATAAAATTCTAAAGATCTTTCAAATACAGATGATAATCCTAATTTTACAAATTAAATGAAGTCTTAAAATATTTAGTGTTATACTTATTTTTAATATTTTAAATTTTATTGTTATTTTTATTATATTTTATATTTTTATTATTTTACGTATTTTTATTATTCTCAGTATATTTATTTTACTTATATTTTATTTAATTAAATTAGTTAGTTTATAGTATAGTAATTAGTTAGCCGTGATAAAAGAAATTTTGTATAAATAGATTAGACTTTTTGCTTATGTTGTAAATTAACTCTCTTACAGATTTAAGAACTCTTTTGCAGATTTGTAAACTTTTTTGCAAGTATGAGTTTCAATATTAATAAAGAAATCATTCAAAACTTATATCTTTCTGCTTCTTTGTGTCTTCATATAATCTGACGTGATCCCTACACATTATTTGTAATTGAGTTCATCATCTGAATTCTTTAATTAAATTATTCATAATCTCATCTTTCAAGTCTTTATATTTGATAGATTTGTTTAAGTCTAACGCATAAATTTAGTAAAGTTAAGAGTTAGGCAGATTCTAATGTCTTGACCGCAGTAGACCGCAGTTAGAAATTTTGAGTAGAGACTTGATAATGTGACTACTCCAAGTTGAAGAATTCCATGATAATAATATTTATAAATTTAGCTCTAAAAGATCCTGCAATTACATTTTTTCTTTTGATTATTATTTTCTTATATTATGAGATTTTTTCTTTTATTAGATTTGAGTGTAATTAATTTCTTTAATAATTTTATTATATTTTATCTAAACTTAAAGTTAGATATAAGTAGTTATTCTATAAATTTATTAGTAGATTATTTAAAAAAGTCTTATATTATATAATAATTTATCATATTAATAATAGGTAATTATATCAGTAGTTTTTTTTAACTTTTAGCTTTTATTATTAAACTTTATTAGTTCTGTACCTTTATCCTCAAGAAAAACACTATTTAATTTAAATGCTAGTTAATTTAAATGCTAGTTTTAGATGTCTTCAGTTTTTTAACCTAAAAGCTAAGCTAGTAATTATAAGACTTATATATTCATATTATTATTTTAATTAACATTATTACTTATAACATTATTATTTATTATAGCTGTATCAGTTAAGTTTAATTATTTTTTATAATAGTTAATTGTTAGTAATTATATTATTATTCATATTATTTAAATTATTTACTACTTTTAATAGGTAATTTCATCTATATATTTAAATTAA